ATATTCTGACCACTTCTTAAATATGATGCGATGAAAATGGTCTTCTTAAGCAAATGCACCTTCTCAGCATTAGTCCCTACCACCTGAAGGGTAACTTGGAATAAAAATATGTATATACTGGATGTATAATGATATGATATGATTATAAGCTCAGCACGAAGTAAATAGGGAGAAAAATTATATCAGGCATTGTGAACTGTTGTAAACCACATTTTGGTGTCCTAATGGGGACAAATCTGTTATCTTTTGATCAGTCTGTGTGAACTGCACGAATTTAATAATTGAAAGTGAAAGCAAAATACGTACATTCCAAAATTATCTTTTGAGTTTTGCGGTATCAATTATTTTAGTTAATTGCATGATTTTAGGATAATAAATTTGTTTAAAAGGCACCAGGCACTCTTCATGAACTTGAGTGTGGGCTTCACTCCTTGGGGGATCGTTAATTCCTCACAAGTTCATGCATTTGCATGCGATGGAAATGTTTGTGATACCGCTAAAGAGCACTGGACGGCTGTTTCGTCCTGATTGGGACTCGTCAGTAGTGCATACTTTTTCTGTTCCTGTCAGGACTCGAACCGCAAACTTTCGGGTTAGGACTTCAAACCCTCACGGTCAACGGTCATCACCTTTTGTGAAGGGTTCAATCAATTTTAGAGAAGCAAGCTCGGATTAGCCCATTTGGTTGTTTAGAGGCACCAGCACTCTTCATCATCTTGTATGATGTTTTTTCACCATCAAAATAAAAACTCATTTGCTTGCTATCATCATCTAGAGACTGGACTTACCTAAAAGCAAACAGCCAAAACTAACAAGAAGCAAAACTCGGAAGTGAAGGAGGGAAAGTAGAAATTTGCGCTTGAATCAAGCTAGTTGTTATTGTACACGTCACAAAAACGTTTTGGTAAAATAATCAGCTAATGATCAAATCTGCCTAACGATCAATGTTTTATTCAACTGACTGTTTATCAATATGGACGTATTATCTAATTCACGAAAATACACATGATTTACCTACAATATGGAAACCATAATCTATTTTAATTCTCACCACCAGCTCTACACACGTCCTCGCTCCCAAATCTCGACTGGTCACTTCCCATATTGCGCTGGATTGCAGTGTCACGGAGCGCTCTGCAGCGACAGGTGTTATTTCACATGCACTATTTCCTTTTTAAAACTGAAATCCAGTAAATCTTTACTCCAATGTAGCCTTA